TCTCCTCCGTTCTCCTCTCGGGGTCTTAAGCACGCACACACACGCACCCGGCGTGAGTTTTAAGCCACCGGGTCCGGGATGCGAACCGCGGTCGACTACATGGGAGTCCAGCGACATAGCCATTACGCTAAGTGCTGGTCCCAGGGGTGATTTCTCACTCTCCCTTTCTCTGTCTTTCTGTCTCTCACTTTCTCTTTGGAGAGTACACATGCCCTATGACAAAAATCTAAATATAGAAAAAGAAAGAGAAAGAAATGGATGTTTCAGATATTCAAATTCAAACATAATTTTGCCAAACTTTTCTCTAAAATCGTTTTTATGACTTTTATTTCTCTAGTCTATATAGAGGCAGTTGTGACTGTTTTATTGTTTTATTAATAATAATTCAATAAACATCATTTAAAAAATCACTGTTTAAGTCAAATAATTTTGTGAGGCCTGATTTCCAGAAGTATCTCTCAGATTATGAGTCTTTTTAAAGACTCTTGATAAGTATTGCCAAATAATTTTTTGGAATGACTAAATCTATATACATACTCTCAAATTTAGTTTATAAAAGGGTGAATTTTAGGGGACCAGCAGTTAGCGCCGTAATGGCTATGTTGCTGGACTCCCACGTAGTCGACCGCGGTTCCAGACCCGGTGGCTTAAAACTCACACCAGCACATGTGCGTGCGTGCCCAAGATCCCGAGAGGAGAATGGAGAAGAAGGGATTGCGGCATGGCCACCCCCCTGGGGGGTGATTTCTCGCTTTCTGTCTCTCTGTCTCTCTCTGTCTTTCTGGGGAGGGCACACGCCCTATAGCAAAGAAAAACCTCTCCAAAAAAAAGAAATGGTTAAAAAAAAAAGAAGGGCAAATTTTACAAAATGCTCATTATCATTATGGCGATAATGGCTTAATATTGACAAAATGGGGATTTAATAAACAATACAATATGTTTTTTGCTAAATATTTAATAAATAGGCGCTATTATTATTAAATAGGCTGGATTTAATCATATGAAAGTAATTCAATTGTAGGTATTTAAAATGAATGAGACTACACTTTTTTTCTATATTTGAAAAGCTATTTTAATTGTGATTTTGCAGTCATAAATATATTCAACTACATAGATACATACAAAATAGTCTACACCTTAAAGAAAAACATATTCATTTATTCCATGATTAAAAGATAAAGAGACAGGGAGACAGCAGCCGCAACATGGTCTTGATACCACAACCCACCCCCAACTTCAGCCAGTTCAGATCATTGGCACCCATTGTGCCTGGTATACTCAGAGACTTCTCCAGATAAGATTCTAGAATATACAGTCTTTCAATTTTGTCCTGGGTAGCTGTGAAAAAGAGGATAGACTGGGCCTCCTCATTCAAAGGAATCATTACATAGTTACATTTGGCTGTTAACCATCATGTTTATATATATATATACACACACACATACATATATATATATATACATAAAGATATATATATATATTTAAATTATTTATTTATTTATTCATTTAATTCCATTTGTTATTATTATTTTTTTAATGTTACCAGAGAGAGACAGAGAGCGAGAGAGAAAGGGAAAGTGAGAAAGCAAGCCTCCAGGTCTGGGACTTGAACCAAGTCGACCATGTGGCAATCCAGTGCCTTTAATCACCACGCCACCTGCTGACCCCAATCGTCATATTTATATTGATTCTTACCTAAAAATATTAGAAACTACCTGGGAAAGTGAGGTAAGAATTTTGTTAAAAAAGGAAAAGATTTGTTTCTCTGAAGTTGAGAAGTCATTTTAGAAGGACATAATAGTATAATAGTATGTAATAGTCAAAGGTTTCAGAAATTGATTCCTTTTATGACCAACCTATCAGACTGAGTGAATTAGATCTGAACTACCAGGTTATTAAATCTATCAACAGAGTCAAATAGTAACCCTTAGAGTAACTATTAATATAACAAACAGGGAGTGACAGATTTTTCTTTTCTTTTTTTTTTCAGGGTTTCTGCCTTAGGGCATGTACGCTCACCAGAGAGAGAAAGAGTGCGACAGAGACAGTGAGAGGGAAAGTGAGAAATCACCCTGGGGGTATGGACACACAGCAATCCCCTCTCTTCCTGTGATCCTGTGCATGGACACACATGCACTGGCATGATTTTGAAGTCACCGGACTTGGGAATCAAATCTTGGTCAGCCACGTGGGAGTACCCCGACATAACTGCTACCCCACCTGCTGACCCCTGTGACAGAGATTTTGAATATCACATTATTAGTTCACATGCAGAATAAAACTAATTAGGATACTTTTCTGGGTAAGGACTGACTTCATGAAGTTGTCTGCAGCATTTGATTCCTCATCCCTGTGGCGTAGATTTCCGAGAATTTACATATAAGGAATGCATTTGGACTAGTCTTTCTCTTTAAAGCAAAAAAAACATCTCACATGCACAGGCAACCTTAAGCTGAAATACAGGATTATAAAACAAATGCTATTATGAAGTCAGAATTATATCAGTCCCAAAGGCAAAATCTTTTTAAAAAATAAAAAACCAAAGCATTTCTCAAGTGCTGTCATTACATCTCTAGTTTCCGTCAGTCCATTTATCCTTTCCCCATATATCCTATTTTTCTGTTTTCTGATGATGGTTGCTCCAGGGAACAGGAAGGAGAAGTAGTAATTTATAAGAGGGGAAATCTGCACAATGGACTATAATATTCCCCTCTTATACATTACTACTTTTTGCGTAGCCTATCAACATTATTTTGCATATTACTTAACACTTCCTATTTCTCTCTTCTTGTTACTTCACAGGTACCTTTCCATCTACAATGGAGGGGAATATGGCTTTAACAATGTGTTTTCTCTGAGGCTGAATTTGAAAAGATATTAATCTTATCTTTTTATTTTGTTTATTTTGTTTATTTTATCTATTACAAACAGAGAAAGGGAGAATGGGGGAGACAGAGAGAGAGAGAGAGATGCATTTCTGACTGGAACTTCGTGCCACGATCCACCCCAGCCTCAGCCAGTCTGGGTCTCCTTCACTGACCAGTGTATAAAGGGTAGCCCTGTGAAGTAAACAAGGACCTTCTTATTTGGGTTCAGTTGCATTACAACTGCACCACTGTTTGGCCAAAATTGTTGAAGCTTGTGGTCTCTGTATGTCAATATATCAATTAAATTCATTTGTGAAAGACATGAACACATTATGAGAAAACAGCCACATGTGATCATCTCCCTCTTCCTCACATCCTGAAATATAAACATGTTACTAATTCCTAGGGTAGCCTGGACTGTGGTTGAGCTCCCTATTTTGTCACAGAAGGGAAGATAATCTATAATGTTGTCCTGTGAAGATACTCACTTCTAGGAGCTAAGACACTATGGCATTTGCCTTCAAAGGTGGCCATCAGAATGTTAGATTGCCTGAGCTTGATTTGTTTGTATAAAGTGAAAACATTCTCTTATCCATTTAAATGAAAGACTGTTTGGAGCTTTGACTTTGGAAATCATATCTCAGTGTGTTATGAGCAAAATCGAACTTTTTGTAGGGAACTCAACCAGTAATTTCATCTGATTACTTGCCATCTTTAAAAGCAGTAAATGCAGTTACAAATTGTTATAATTGTGCCACATCCTTCTTTTAAGACAAGTTGACGGTATGATATCAAATTACATAAAGATGATTGCAAACCTTGGAAACTTACTTTCTGAGTCTTGTTTCTGTTGAATTATTTATTCTTTCCAAATCTTTAGCACGTGTTTTTTCTTTTACCTAGATGGTTGGAGACATTAAGTCTGTGTTGTGAGGAAAGGCAGGTAGCAAAATTGGGCAGCGGATGTAGTGATAAGGAAAAACAGTTCCTCTAACAGAGTAACACGAAAAGTATCTGTGTGTGTGTGTGTGTGGGGGGAGGTCTGGAAAAGTAGTGTAACCCAAGTTAATTTACCTTTTGGGTTCTTCCATCCACATTCGGTTTAAAAAGAGAAGGTGAGAGGGAACTGAAATCATGTTTTCAACATTTCTCATTATTGTAATATTTTATTATTTACAATCTGGATTTTACTACAGTACCCCAGGTCCACAATTTCCTTATCTTTTACTTTTGTGTAGTGCCTTCAGAAAACATAAGGTACATGCCTTCAAAAACCTCATAGTATTATATCATTTTTAAATATTCAACATATTTGTTCTCAAAAAGTTCTAGAAGAGAAAAGCCACTCTTAGCTCCTTTGGCGAAATTTGCCTCAAAGGTATTAGGAATCTCTCTTGTTAATCTCCAATTACTTGAACCTTTCTTAGAATCTTTTAAATCTTCCCCAGACTAAAAGAAAAAAAAAGAAGAAGAAGAAGAAAAGAAAGAAACTACATATCCCAGAAACCACAGCTGGAAACAGACACTTCCTCTCCTGTCACTCCCCGCCCCTTTGAATCTAGTCAGCTAAAACTCCAGTTGAGGCATCCTAAAATATGCCTGAAAAAAATGTCGGCTGTTTGGCCCGATCTTTCAGCCGAGCTGTCGTCGGGCTCCTTTAAATCGGTGCTGAGAGCAGGCACGCTACCGAGGACGCAGAGCGGGAAGGGCGTGGGGCGCGGGCATCACCTGCTCCGAGGGGCGCAAGCGCGCGGCCAGGGCGCGGGCGAGGAGGCGGGGCGCGGTGGGAGGGGCGGACGGCGCCCGGCTGGCACAGCTCAGATCTGCTTCTGCCTGGCTCGGGGCTCTGAGGCGGCGTCGGGGAGGCGGCTGCCGCGAAGGGTGACTTGCCCGGTGCA